TATATATTACAATATAAAGTAATTTGTAAATATATGAAAGGAATTAAATTTATTGATTTTAAAAATATTTCTATACAAAAAATGGTGTTAATTATAATATAAAGTAATTCGTTAGTAACTATGTTTGAAATATATTGTTTAACTTCAAAGCGCCAATTAAATAATGCAACAGTTCTTTGCGCGAAACCAAATCGAAAACATAGAAATAATTCTATGTTCTTACGTCAAAATGACAGCACTACTTAAACCACTAATCAAAGAAAAACAATACCTTTTAATGTAAAAAAACTATAGCTTTATAAAAATTTAGCACTCTTAAATAATGGGAAAACATGAACGTAGTGGCAAGTAGAAGTTTTAGTTATTTTATGTAAAAATGCTAACAGCTTTCTGTTTTAATAGACATTGGCGATAATAAGCGCAGCAAAAGACATAAGCGGCATAAACATAACAAGGAGCAAAACATAAAATCTGAGCAAATGGAGATCGTCAACGATGAAATAATGGAAAACGAAGACAAGAAAGAACTTACGCACAATGAGGACGATGCTCAAATTGATGTGGGCGAAGAGGATTTATGTAATGTAACATTGCCACAAGCTAATATCACGCCTCCAAGAGCAAACACTAACAAAAGTAAAAAGACCACTCCTAAAAGTATTTCATCCACAAGCAGCGCAACAGGGACTCCTAGTAGCATAGCAAATAGTGCTAATTCTAAAAAGGCGAAAAAGAGACGCGACAGTGGTACCTCGAGTGGTGAAGAACGTTGGCTAACTGCAATTGAAAAAGGAAAACTGGAGGATGTGGATGATGAATTGAAAAAAATCAAAGATCCCAAGTTAATGACTGCACGTCAACGCGCTATGTACGAAAGAAATTTGGATAAGGAACCCTCTCCGGGTGGCGAAATGCTAATGTCATTACCAACAGGTTATCGCGAAAAGGAAAAACCACAAACTGCAGAAGATATACTAAAGGCTGTGCTCAAATCACAAAAACGCAAACAACTAGCGGATGAGAAACGTGAAAAGGATAAAAAGAAAACCATGGAACGTTTGTTAAAAAAACAAGACAGCACAAAACCACGCAGTGGAGGCCGTAGCAAAATTCTTAAAACAGCGCAGCCAATGATAAGCTATAGAAGCACTTTGAGTGGTGCCTACATACACTTGCCACCAGACCATGAATTTCCTTTAGCACCGCAAAAATCAGAGAGCCCGCCAAAAGTGATTATGTGTGCAATTGAAGGTTGTGGCCAGCCCAAAGTGTATAACTGCTCAAAGACAAATCTGCCATTATGCAGTTTCGCTTGCTATAGAAAAAATGTCCAAGCGCTGCGACAAATCATGTGTTAAAAATGGGTTTCTAGTGCTTTATTGGCTTGCTATTTGTACGTGTACAGTTTATTGATTAAGCAAAAAATTGTTGATGGTTTCCTGTTGCTCGGCCTCGATTCGCTGCAAATATTGATATTCGCTTTTCAAACGATCCAGTTCGGTGTTCTTCTCATGTATTTTGCTCTGTAAAATGAGAAGGATTCATATATGCAACAATCTTTATTTATTTATTTTTATTTGCCTGATAAACTTGCTGTTCCGCCTGGCGTTGTTGTGCTATGGTCTTAAGAATATTTTGTGTGCCTATTGCACGTAACTTTTCTCTTTCCACATCCTTGGATATTTTAGAAACTATTTTATGGAAGTCTGCTGCCAATTTTTTGAACTCTTGTAGTTTGTTTGCATATTCCAGACATTCTTCACGTAACTCGTTGGTCTCAGTAGCAATGCGAGGATCCTGCACGCGTAACCGATATATATCGTCTATATAAAGTCCTGCTTTTTGAAGTTCCTCCGACATAGTTTAGAAGTCAGTGCAACTACTAAGAAATATGCTTCCCTAGATATGAGCTATTGTATTGGTAAACGTTTGGAACAAAAGCATCGTCATAGCAACGTTAAACCAAACAAGAATTTTTATTCGTAATCTTTCATTTTAATGTAACTTAAGTACTTCAAAATTAGTATAAGAATAAATAATGTTTACATCCATATTGTTCAAATAAATATTTGAAAATATTTAATTTAATTTATTTAGAGTAAACACAAGTTATCATAGTACTGTAAATTTATTCTTGAGAATAGTAAAGAATATTTTAAGTAATATATGAAATGACAATGCAGATCCACTGAAGAAACAGTGAAGGAAAATCTTTAAATTGTAGATGAGTGTGTGTTTACTGTTATTCATTTACTACTACTATTATTTTGCTAATCCTGAAAAGGAACTACCACTTTCCGAATCTAATAGCTTTTAAGATCACATCAAGCGAACCATCGGATGATTCAATATTCTAACCACCATCATAAATTTATGTATTATGTTGAGGCTGAGTCATTGCACTTGAGCAATTTTACTCTCTATTAACTATGAGGTTTCTTCATAACTCCTCTCTACGCCTTGACTGGATTATTGTTTATCACTTCATCAGACTAAGCAATATTTAACCTCAGATCTGCATACCTCCCCGAGAAGCCTGTAACCATTCTGAGATTCGATAACGCAGTGTTGGTAAGCCTATCAGTTTTCGTACATAATTTCAGGACTCTATCCTTTATGTATTTTTTAATCGGATCAATCAATGATAGTACCTTGAAAAGTCTTCTCAGAGCCTGACTTTGTGCAATTTCTAGCTGGTGAATAGTTGTTTCGTTGAGGCCTTGGTAAACGCTACACATCCATATAGAAGTAACGATCGAATTATAACAGTTCCTGCTCTTAGCATTGATCACAAATTAAGGCAATCATATCCATGTCATCGGGTGGTTGAATTTTATAATTTAGATGCGCAAATAAACTTGTCCACTATAATTAAAAGGAATTATTAAAATAACAAGAGAACACAAATTTTAAAATAATTTTTATATTAACGTCATACATGATTAAACAGGAAATTTAGTTTTTAGGAAAGCCATTATAATCAACACATAATGACATAACGACACAGTATTTTTTTTTAAATTAATACTTTTTAAATAATACATATTTGATGTATATCATTATTAATTTAATCCCTAAAATTTATATCTAACATTGAAGACATAAAATAATTTAATTTTTGAACGTCTAGATGAAACATGTATAAACTGAAAATTATAAGTGTAAAAATGTTAAAACTTTAAATTACAACAAATCAGTTTTTCAGATTTTTAATTTCAATTCATTTAAAATTACAATTTTTCATATTTACAAATTTCT